AATTAACTTATAATGTTATATTTATATAGATACATATTTATATTTTCATGTCTTTTTTAGTTTTTAATTTTTTTTTTATTTGCAACATATTTATACAATGTTATAAATAAAAAAAATATATATTTTTTTTAATCTCGATGGTAAAAAAGAACAACACAACAACATAATATAATTGTTTAAATTACAATGATATAATTGAAAAAAAAATGTTATAAATAAAAAAAATATATAAAAAGGTACAATAGTAAGAAATGTTTTTTTTATGGATATATCAAATTATTAATTTTTTTATTTAATATTTTATTCATTAAAAACTAATTGCTAAACATATTAAAAGAAACAAACAATTTTTTTTTCAATAATCATGGGTATATTTGTACATCTAGTATAAATAAAACAAATGTGTGGAAAAATTGATTTGTTGGATCTTTGATCCTTTTATTTAATACTTACAACTTTTGGCTATATAAATTACAAGTAATTGTAATTAAAATTAATTAAAAAAACGCATAAATAAAAAAATTTAATTTAATTTTTTAGTTTTTAATTTTTTAATTGTAAAAAAAATGTGGATTGGAAAAAAACAATGCTAATTCCGTATACTAAACTCTAAACCCAAAATTATGTTTCAGCAACGTCATGTCTATTGATAAAAGCTGGACTACTAATCCATATCGAAACCATCCCAAGTTCCAAACAGGACTGAAAACTTTTATCGAGAAGTCCATTGATAGTAATGGTAAAATCAAATGTGCCTGTGAAAAATGTGATAACCGTTACTTCAAGTACTTGACTGCAGTTGAACGTCATATATTTATAAATGGTTTCAGTAAGTCGTAAAAAATTTGGATCTATTATGGTGAATCTTTTATTCCTCCAGTCGTCTTGCCAAGTAACGAAATGGCCGATTTAATCGACGATGTGATGTGGGAGTCGAGAGAAAATGATACCAACCTTGATGAAGGAACCTCGAATACAAGGGGTAGTGGTGTGGATGATGATTTTGCACAGTTGTTGGAAGAAGTGGAAACTAAATTGTATCATGGTTGCATCTTTTCTTCCCTTGAGTTTCTATCAAAGTTAATGCATATCAAGGTGAACAACAAATTGACTGATAGTTCATTTAATCAACTCCTCGAGTTGTTGCAATTAGCATTTCCCAAAGGCAACAAGGTTCCCCTTTCACATTATCTAGCCAAAAAGAAACTGAAGTCTATTGGTTTGGGGTATGAGTCGATACATGTGTGTAAAAACGATTGTTGTCTGTTTTAGAAAGAACACGATTCATTGCAAGTCTGTCCCGTTTGTAAAGAGAGTCGATGGATCGATAAAAACACCAAGGGTAAGAAAGTACCTCATAAGGTGTTACGGTACTTTCCTGTGACCCATAGACTACGATGTTTATATTGTTCGAGGCACACTGACAAAAATATGATTTGTCATAGTACCGGACGTTTAGAAGATGGTGTGATGCTTCATCCTGTGACCCCTAGACTACGACGTTTTTATGAAATTTTATTTACTATTTTTATTCAGTTATTATAAATTAAATATCGTTTCTAATAATTTTTAATTACATTTGTAGTTGAGCAACGTGAACGTAGGAAAGTTTGAGGCAAAGCCAAAAATATAAAGCTTGAAAAATCGATCTTACGGAATCAGGGCAAACCGATTAGCATGGAATATGATAGGGATATCACATTTGATCCCGTAGGAGAGACGAAAGACATGTTTTCATGAGAAATTGGGAAAACAATGTGACAAATGGTCCCTTTTGATAAATGGACTTGGAAAAAAGTTTCCCCTGCAATAAAGGATATCGTATTACAACATTTAGCGATAATTATTTATTTAAAAATATATTATATGGTTAACTATAACTGGATTTTACTTGGTTAATTTTTTTGTAGACACAATTTGATTTGGATTAGATGTACCAGGATGTACAAGCTAATATGTTGATAGAGAGGCTTTGTTAAAAGGTTATTGAGAATGTAAAGCTGACGCAAAAGAATATTTTAAGTTAGTAGGAGGGTATGAAGATATTCGAGGAGCATTCGCAAACCATCCAGAGGGTATGAAAGGTTATATCTGGAAGAAAGCAGGTGAGTATTTCCAAACGGACGAACATAGAATTGCTTCAGAAAGGAACGAAAAAGTCCGTGAAATGCAAACAAATGTGAATCGTGGGGGGGTTGAGCTCGTATAACAGTACTTGCTATAAAAAGGTAACGTATGATACATGTAATTATTTATTTAAAATATAATCTAATTTTTAAAGTTAAACAGAACCTTAAGAGAGTGGAAACGTTTCACAAAGCTCGTACCGATAAGAATGGTGTGTTTGTTACTGCTGAGGCGGAACAATAATATGTAAATATTTAATTATAATTTTATCATATAATTAAATGTTTATTTATACTTAATTGTTACTCACTTTTGGGAGTTACAGAATCGGTTAGTTGAAGAGCTGTTAGAACAAACTCAAGGTGAAAGTAAGTTAACACCCGCTCAAGAAAGAGTTGTGTTTGAGAAAATATTAGGAGAGCGACGTGGCCATATTAGAGGCATTGGACGTAAACCTTCTACTCCCTCGCCGATTCCACAGCCTTGGCAACCATCACCACAACCATCACAGTTAAAACAATCTACTTTGGTTTTTTGTGGTGATTATTTTGCTATAAACTTTGGTAATTAGGTTTTGTCCCAAGTGCAAGAAATGGCAACGTACTTTTTTTTTTTTTTTTTTTTTTTTTTTTTTTTTTTGTCTTGGTTAAAAAATAGCAATCTACTTTAGCATCATAAAATGCATGTTGATTTGGTAATTTTGGTTTTGTGGTGATTATTAGCTAAAAACTTTGGTAATTAGGTTTTTATCCCAAGTACAAGAATAGGAACGTACTTTGGTTTTTTGTCTTAGTTTAAAAATAACAATCTACTTTAGCATCATAAAATGCATGGTGATTTGGTAATTTTGGTTTTGTGGTGATTATTTGCTAAAAGCATTGGTAATTGGGTTTTTGTCACAAGTGCAAGAAATAGCAATGTACTTTGGTTTTTTGTCTTACTTTAAAATTAACAATCTACTTTAGCATCGTAAAATGCATGTTGATTTGATAATTTTGGTTTGTGGTGATTATTTGCTAAAAACTTTGGTAATTGGGTTTTTGTCTCAAGTGCAATAAATAGCAATGCACTATGGCTTTTTGTCTTAATTTAAAAATAGCAACTTACTTTAGCATCATAAAATGCAAGTTGTTTTGGTAATTTTGGTTTGTGATGATTATTTGCTAAAAACTTTGGTAATTGGGTTTTTGTCCCATGTGCAAGAAATAGCAATGTACTTTGGCTTTTTGTCTTACTTTAAAAATATCAGTTTACTTTGATAGTTTTTGTTTATGTTTGATAATTTAACTTATAAGTTTATATATGTTGTTATTAATTATGTAGTTGGAAAATCTTCGTGCAATGCTCAACGACCCGGCATGGAGGGATGAGCTTTATTCATTTTTTCAATCCCAAAATAATCGAGGAAACGATGAGAACGAAGATGATGATATGTAGGGATGAGTTTTATTTGCATATTACACTTGTTGTCACGCTTTGCTACAATTGTTAGATTGTAAAAATTTTGGTTGTTTTCTGTAATTACTGACGATACTATTACCGGCGACATTATTACACTTTATAAGTAATCGGATGTTATGTAATTACCGGGCGACATTTTTACCGACGACATTATTACTTTTTATATTTAATCGGATGTTTGTTTTGTCATTAGCGTCGACACTATTATTTTTGATATTTAATCGAATATTGTTATGTAATTACCGATGACATTATTACCGGCAACCAAAATCGTTGATTAAAAAAAATAAAAAATTAAAAAAAAATTGAAAAATGAAAATAGTAATTACCGGCGACAGTATTACCGGCGACATAGTCGTTAGCGGCAAAAATACTCATTATCGGCGACATGTTGATCAATAGCGACGGAGCAGTAGCAACGTCTTATTACCGGTGACGTGTCGCCGCCATTACTATTACCGATGACAACTTGACCATTTAGCGGCGACTTAATGATCTTTTTCCTTGTAGTGCAAGAAAACACCTGATATCGTCCCGATTATGATTCCTTTCTTTGACAACTTCTTATTCCGATTCCGAAACTGGACTAATGCTCTTGTTTGAGAACCTAAAGGTTCGGTGGAGAGAGGAACAAGAAGGGTGGTGAAGGGAAAAATCAAATCTTCAATCGAAGAAAACCCGTTTTCCAAAACTAAATCTTGAAATTTCACATCAAACCGTTTACAAATTTTCTTGATTGAATCTTCCCAAGTAATCAAGTAAGTCAACATAAAGCTGATTTCGACCATGGTTTGATTAACTGTATGACACGCACATCTAAGTGGGATGTGAAGCTTCCCCACCAACGTCTAATTCATTTTCGTTATAACTGATGGTGACGATGTGACGATATTGGAGATTGGAGATTGAAGGTTATACCGGAATATGAATTGTAAAGGGTTTTTTTTTGGGATTGAGTGGTATAAGTTAGCAGGAATAAATTTTGAACAAAAATTTGTAGAGTGAACATCCGATTTATTGATGGGGTATTTTTATTAATATGTGCAGAGGTAAAGCACAAATTTTGATGAGGGGTGATTACGAAGAAGTTTTATAAATTGGTGGTTCATATTAGTTGTGTAATTGAAAATAATGATAGATTAAGAAGTTATTGATGCAGGTTTTTTTATTAATTGGTGTGATTTTCTTTTTTGATGCGGTTTTCCTATTAATTGGTGCGGTTTATTTATTGGTGTGTTTTACAAAAACTTGCACCAAATAAACATGTTTAATGGTACAGTTTTGGTCTACCGCATTAATAAATGCATTTGTGATTCTTTTTAATGAGATTATATGAAAACGACAGAAGGTGGTTCCGTAACCAAACCACATAAACACTCATGTTGACTCTTATCTAGGCTAATTCTTAGAAAATGGATGGAACATGGACGGATGTCCGACGGAGGAAACCACCGGCGATTCAAGCAATCACTAATTTTTTTGTTGCAGGCTTCCCTGATGGCACAAGTAAAGGTGAACTCCGACAGACTTTTGCAAGATATGGACAGGTGGTGGATGTTTACATCGGCGGAAGAAAGGACTACAGGAAGAAGAATTACTCATTTGTAAGATTCCACGAAGGAAGAGAGTTGAACAACTTGGAAAAGAACTTACAGGGCATCATTTGTCGTGGGCAGCAACTTGAGGTAAACTTGGCTAAACATCAAAGAAAAACTAAGGGTCCAAAAATTCCTACCTTCCATAGGGAGGCTGCACCAGAAATCAATCTCAGGTATGTTCCTCCTCCTTCTTCCTCTGTCTTGCATTCTCATGACTTTAGAACCAGAAATTATGCACAACTAGTGAAGGTCTCAACAACAAAATCAACTAAGCCACTAAGCACACCAGTTATCCTAAATCCAAACACAAGCATGAAACATTGGATCCAGAAAACAGTCCTAATTGGTGATGTAACGACCCGTCTCTGGTATGTTGCTTTTTAGTATTTATTTTTGAAGTTTGTAGAGGAACTCGGCGAGTCTATGTCCCGACTCGTCGATTAGGGTCGCGTTTTTGATCAGCTTATAGATCGGCGACTCGGCGAGTCCATATTCGGGACTCGGCGAGTCGGCCTGCCAGGTAGAAAACCTAAATCCCCGGGTTTGCTCCCTATTTAAGCAATGTTATGTGCCCCAAACTCGCCTCCTTCACCTCAGAGAGCTGTGAGAAACCCTAAACCCATCCCTTGATTGATTGAAGTGTCTTTGTGTGGATTCTTGAAGGCTTGAAAGAGAAGAAGAAGAAAGGAACAAAGAGAAGAGGTGTAGAGCAAAGATCCAAGGTCAGAATCAGAGTTCTTTGAGGTATTTCTCGGAATCCTCCTGTTTTATGCTTAAAATCTCCATTAGAACATTTCTAGGGTTAGTTTGATGTATTTTTCCAACCTTATAGTTGTATGGATGCCTTAATAGGTCGAGATATCCTTAGATCTGTTCATTTGGGAGTTGTAGAGCCCAGATCTATTGCCTTTTCGAAGATGCTTTGCATGAGAACCCTAGATCGAGCCTTTATCATGCTTTTTGAACCTTATTATCTTCTTGGATGCTCATGGACACGTAAAGATAGAATCTTTACGTGTTAATCGAACTAAGGAAGCCCAAATCTATAAGTTTTAGACGTTGGATTCAAGCAGAATCGAGTTTAGAGTAGCTGCATGGATGCGACTCGGCGAGTCGGAAGAACGACTCGGCGAGTCAAGCCGCGAGTCCCGATTTTTTCCCCTTTTGAGTGATGTCGAGTGGGAACCGGTGAGTAGTAGAGTGGACTCAGTGAGTTGGAGGGCAGACTCAGTGATGGAGGGACTCGACGAGTTGTTCATACAACTCGGTGAGTCCAAGGCAATCTTCTTATGATTCAAGAACAACTCGTCGAGTTGTTCATACGACTCGGCGAGTCGGATGCAGATGACCTGAGTGTTGATATAGAGCGGGAACTCGTCGAGTGTATGCCATACTCACCGAGTAGCAGCGAGCAGGGTTGAGAAATGAGAGTACGGACTCGGCGAGTTGGCGGCCCAACGCGGCGAGTCAGGTCAACTTTAAAGTTGACTTTGACCAGGAGAGTTGACTTTAGCCAGGGGTAAAAGAGTCATTTTACCCCAATGCAGTTATTAGTAATTTGATTGAGTGTATTTGTGGAATTGTAGCCGGGGAGATACCGGAGCAGCAGCAGATAGTTCCCGGAGCCACACACTCAGCAGCCAGATCACGAGGTGAGTTTCCTTTCAGTAGGAACGGGTCTAAGGCCACAATGTCGGCCCGTTAAGCTAGCAGTAGTTCCGGACTTCGGTCCGATGCAGATTTTAGTATGTTTGATGCCTTCGTGGCTCAGGCAGGATTTTGTGTTATGTGTTTCGGGTTACAGCCCGATGTAGTATGCTATCTAAGTGCTCATGTTAGTTGATATGCTTATGTGATGCTATGTTCAGTATGTTCCGGACTTCTGTTCGATGCAGTCAGTTCCGGACTTCGGTCTGATGCATTTAGTTCCGGACTTTGGTCCGATGCAGGAGGCAAGGCCTCAGTAGTTCTGGATTTCGATCCGATGCAGAGGGCGAGGCCCTGGTTAGTTCCGGACTTTGGTCCGATGCAGTTTTCGGACTTCGGTCCGATGTAGTGGGCAAGGACCAATATGTGTTTATATGTATTATATGGTATGTGGTAGTTTGGGGGAGCTCACTAAGCTTCGTGCTTACAGTTTCAGTTTTGGTTTCAGGTACTTCTGCAAGCAAAGGGAAGAGCTCGGGTTGATGGCATCGCACACACCACAACTTTAGCTGTCCTGGGAGTTGTTTTTGTTTTGATAGATGTGATTGATGCAGTCTTGATACAGTTTACTCATAACACTTTACTTTTGTTTGTGAGATATTGACGTACGAGTTTACTTTATGATTTTATCATGGTGTTTTAGTAATTATTCAACAAAAATTTTTGGGTCATATTTTGGGATGTTTCAGGTGAAGCCTTCAGCCTTGACCATATTGCTAACCTCCCGGCTTCTCTACTTATGAACGAAAATACAAAGTACTTTGGTGGTCTTAGGATTGCCCTAAAGTTCAACCACTCAATGGATGCAACTCAATTCCTGGAGGATAACACTAGATGGAAAGATTGGTTCAAAAAATTATCAAGAGCAGATCAGTATGAACTTCCCTATGAAAGAACTGCTTGGTTAAAAATACTAGGACTACCTATACAATTGTGGGAAGAAGAAAATTTCAATCTGATTGCTCAACGATTTGGTAGAGTGATCAATCCATTCAGTCATATCATCACCAGACGCCACTTCTCTATGGGAAAAGTGGGTGTATTAACGACCGAAAAGAGATGGATAAATGAGACGATTAACATCATGGCAGACGACATATCGGTTACGATAGGTGTTGTAGAATACACCGATGACTGGTCTCCTTTCCATCCCGTCTCATTTGACAAAGTGGTGGAGGAATCGGAAGATGAAGAGGAGACAGAAAATGAAGACGACGAGGACAGGATCTCCGACACATACATGCAAGACGACGCAAACGAACCAGAGGAAGGTGAAATTAGAGCGGAAACCACCACGAAACACCAAGGCAACGATGGTGCCGAGTCTTCTTCTCCGGCAACTAACGGAGTAGGCCCCGACCACGAAACTGAAGCGTTGCCGCTCACGAAAGAAAATCATGACAGTGCAATTAATGGGAGCAATTCCCTTCCCGATGCAATGAATTTGAAGAACGCAAACGGTAAATCGACGGAAGAGGCGGTCAAAGTTAATACGTAACTCACAATAGGAACACCCTTGCGACTGAACCAAATTATTCAACATTGGGAGAGCCAATTGGGGGATCTACATCGTCTGGCACTAATATATTTGGGCCTATCCAAGACCTTATGTCTAGTGGCTGGTTCGGGCCTTTCCCTAATACAATACCAATTCAATTTTCATCCCCAACAGCCCATATTGGTGACTCGGTATCTGGTAGTGAATCAAACACTAGTGGATCAAAACCCAGGAAACGCAAGAAAATTAAAACTAATACTCGTTCATCACCGCATCTTACTCAACCTATTCTATTACCTAATTTACCCATTCCCTTTCCTAATACACAACCAAACCATCAAATTGATCTTAATGCAAATCCAACAGTTAATTTAACTACCCAATCAGAGACAGAAAAGTAGTCTACCATCTAACTCGTGCGAATTTCAACAAACTGTGGCAATTGGAACAGAATTAGGTTTCCATTTTGACGATGATAATGGAATCATGGCAAAAATTGTTGGTGAGTCAGGTGGACAAACTTGCGATCAATGAATTGCTTATCCTTAAATACAAGAGGCTTGGGGTGGATGTCAAAACTCAATGGGTGCGTAGATTGAAAGTTACTCACAAAATAAACTTCATAGGACTACAGGAAACAGAAATGATGGACCACTCTAGCAGTAACATTGATGGATGTTAGGATTCAACTGATCATGAATCAGAAGGAGTTGACTCAAATGGTAGATCGAGAGGATTGATATCAATATGGGACACACACTGCTTTCAAAAGGCAGAGGTCATTAAAACTCGGTTCTTTCTAATTGTCATTGGTGATTGGGTTGGTGTCACAAGAAACACGATCTTCGCTAACGTTTATGCTCCACAATCACCAACGGAGAAAAAAAGTGTTTGGAGAGAATTAACTAGAATCAAATTATCCAAACCTGGCAAATGGATAATATTTGGCGATTTTAACATTGTAAGAAGAAAGGCAGAAAGATTCAATTCACAGTTTTGCCCTTTTAGTGCATCCGCTTTTAACCATTTCATTCACGAGGCTGGCCTACAAGAGTTTAATATGGATGGGGAAAAATACACGTATATGTCACGTGTAGATGTTAAATTAAGTAAATTAGATAGTTTTCTAGTTTGCTCTAATTTTGTGTCTGCATTCCCTGATAAATCTGTGATGGCTCATCCTCGTGAACTCTCTGACCATAGTCCTATCACGCTAAAACAATTTTCGTCATATTTTGGACCAACTCCATTCAAATTCTTCAACTCTTGGTTACTAATTGAAGGGATTGACCAATCGGTTATCGAAGCTTGGGGAAACTTCATGGGATACGGCACATCAGATAAATACCTTGCAGCTAAACTACGACACGTGAAGGAAGCAATAAAGAAATGGAGGAGATTGAACCATCAAAAAGAGACGGATGAGTTACTCAACTTAAAGAACAATGTTGCCGCATTAGAGAAAGTCGCAGAACTTCGTACACTAACTGAAAACGAGCTAATGAATAGAAGTCATGGGATTCAGAGGATTCTGGAACTTGAAAAAATGAAGGAATTAGATCTGAAACAAAAAGCCATAATCAAATGGACTGCAGACGGAGATGAAAACACTAAGTACTTCATGGGTATATTAGTAGTAGAAATAGGAGGAATAGAATAACAGATTTGTCAATCAATGGAAGGTGGATGTCAGACATCAATGAAATAAAAAATGAAGCATATAAATTCTTCCAAGGCAAGTTCAAAGAATAATGGCCGACACGTCCAAAACTAATCAGTCCTCACTTCAAATCGATTTCCATGATAGATGCCATCAGACTTGAATCACCAATCTCACGGGAAGAAGTTAAAAATACAGTTTGGGCAAGTGGCAGTGACAAGGCTCCGGGACCAAATGGATTCACATTCAAGTTCATAAAGAAATACTGGGATACAATATCTTAAGATATAATAAGATTTGTTCGACATTTTGAGGATCACGACATCTTATCTCCAGGCTGTAACTCCTCATTCATCACGTTAGCATCAAAAATCAAGGATCCACTTACCCTTTCTGACTATCGTCCAATTAGTCTTATTGGGTGTTTATACAAAATCATCACCAAGATCTTAGCCATGAGATTAAAGAACGTTATTGGTGGGGTCATCGGAGAGGTTCAATCAGCTTATGTGGAAGGACGAAGCATTCTTGATGGACCATTAATTGTCAACGAGATTTGCTCTTGGGCAAATCGTACGAAAAAAATATTACTTTTCAAAGTTGACTTCGATAAAGCATTTGACTCATTAAACTGGGGATTTCTAGATTTAGTGCTTATTCAAATGGGATTTGGGAATAAATGGAGATAATGGATTCGTGGGTGCTTATCTTCATCTCGAGCTTCAGTGATTGTCAATGGTTCACCCACCAAAGAATTTGACATAAGCAAGGGGGTACGACAGGGCGACCCTCTTTCTCCATTCCTCTTTATCATCGCATGGAAGGTCTGAACGTAGCTCTCAAAGCGGCGATTGAAAAAGGAATTTTCAAAGGAATTAAAATCCCTGAAAATGGACCATTGATCTCTCATTTATTCTACGCCGATGATGCATTGTTCATCGGAGAGTGGTCCCGATCCAATCTTAAAAACTTGGCTCGTATCCTACTATGTTTTCACGCATCTTCAGGGCTCAAAGTCAATTTCTTCAAATCCAAAGTCTTTGGTATTGGGGCTTCAAATGTTGAAACCTCAAATTGGGCCAACATCCTTGGATGCGAAGCCGGCTCCCTACCGTTCACTTACCTCGGAGTTCCGATTGGGGCAAATATGAACTTGGTAAAAAATTGGAAACCAATTATCGATAAGTTTCATTCTAAGCTCTCGTCATGGAAATCAAAAACTTTGTCATTTGGGGGCAGATTAACACTAATCAAATCTGTTCTGGGCAATCTTCCAATGTACTACCTTTCGATATTCAAAGTCCCAATGACAGTGATTAATGCACTTGAAAAAATCTGTAAGAAATTCCTTTGGGGGGGGGGGGGGGGCACGGAAAGGAAAAACAAGATTCACTGGGTATCATGGGAAAAAGTAACGACACCAAAGGAACATGGTGGATTAGGTGTAGGATCAATACATGCACTTAACGTTGGACTCATTGTCAAATGGTGGTGGCGTTTGAAAAATGAACCAACATCACTTTGGAGTCAGGTTATAACAGGTATTCACTATCTTTCTAATAAACCTTATGATTATCTCTCAAAGAAAACTATTACTGGGGTGTGGAAAAATATTGCAGGGACCATGAAAGATATTCAGAGAGCTGGACTTAATCTCAACGACATTTTTAGACAGGAGATCAAATCAGGCGAAAATACCATGTTCTGGTAAGACACTTGGATGAATAACGAGAAACTAAAAACGAAATATCCTTCACTTTTTGATTTAGAATTACATAAATCATGCTCTGTTTCCTCTCGTATTGTAAATATTGGTAACTTTTGGGAGTGGAAATCTTGTCCATTAGTGGCAGGATTATCTGCAGAATTAGATAGGTTAAAACAGGAGATTGCTTTGTGTCAACTACAACCTGGTCATGATAAATGGACATGCTTGTTAACACCAGAAGGAAGTTTCACAGTGGAAGAAATCAGAAGGAGACTAGACAAAGTTGCACTGCACTCTCCCAGTCTTCCTTTGATCAGTTGGTGCAACGATATCCCAATAAAGGTGCTCTGCTTTGTCTGGAGGGCTGCACAAGGATGCATTCCATCTGATATAGCATTACAATCTCGTGGCATGGATATCGACTCGACACTATGTGGAACTTGTATTGGTGAAGTTGAGTGTGCTGATCATATTTTGATGAGATGCTCATACACAAAACTTATAATGAACAAGATTTTTGAATGGTGTGGATTAAACAAAGAAGAATTCAATAATGTTTGTGAACTACTTCATTTTGCAGCCTCATGGGGTCGTTGCCCTAAAAAACGCATTAAACTGCTTTGTATTTGCTACAGTCTGCTATGGAATCTTTGGAGAATCAGGAATGACATATTGTTTCGAGGTGCATCTACTACAATTTGTAGAGGCATTGAAAACATTAAAGCGTTGGCATATTTGTGGCTCAAATTCAGGGGCAATGGTCGAGTCGGTAATTGGATAGATTGGAATTCCTCCCCCTTTCCCCCATGTAATAAACTAAAAACTATTTTGTACTTCTTTGCCCTTGCCTCGTCACTTGCTAAGCATTGGGTTTATATATATAATATATATATATATATATATATATATATATATATAATATATATATATATATATATATATTGTTGTTTCTAAAAAAATATGAAAACGACACCAATAAATATATTAAATGATGCGGTTTCTTTGTTTGTTGATGTAAATCTTATTTAATGATGCGATTTTGAATATCAACCACACCAAAAAAAAAAAAAAAAAAAAATAGGCATCACACCATTAAATCAGTTTTGTACGGGTGATACTTAGCAGGTGTTATTTGATCCGGTTCAAAAATAAATCAATAAATAAATAAATAACAGTCTACAGCATGGTACTATGAACTGGGAATGGAAATCAACTCCAAGAACAGTGGATCAGATTAGTGAGATTAACATGCTCACTACCACAGTCCGTGATTATTAACTTATGGATGGAAGAGAGAAGTGGATGTGCACTTTATCTAGTGATGGTGTTTTCCATGTCGATGCTCTTAGATTTCAAATTGATTGCTCGAACATACCATCGATGGAGACTCACTTAAGATGGATTCATGAGATCCCATTGAAGGTGACATGCTTTATATGGAGGGCAAATTTAGACAGAATACCAACCGCATGCGCTCTACTCAAACGAGGTATTCAACTGGAATCCCCCCTATGCACCTATTGCGGGAATGAAGAAGAGGATGCATCCCATGTGATCCTACGATGCCCAAGGATTGTGCAGGTTTGGGATTGGGTGTTCCGTTGGTGTGACATCCCTAATGCTCAATTCACA